GCTAGTTTCCCTAAAGCCCTTTGCTAACTGGGCTCCAGTACAGTAACCCCAAATTAAGGAGCTGGTGTTCAATGATTCACAATCATGTGAAAAAAGTAATCCATGATTAATACAGGATAAATGCTTGGATAGGACATATGAATGATAGAATAGTTGCCTATAATTCATTAGTAAACGAACATTTGAAGCATAATGGAGAAATAAAAGGAGAAAAATACTTAAATGAGCCCAAGATTAACAAGAATATGGCATACAATATGGTATAATTACTCCTTATAACACTTAACAGCGACTTTGCAGTCTTATTTACCTTGACTAAGAAATGTTTGGAGGAATTTTTCCCATGTAGGGAATCGTTTCTCATTGACTGGCTGTACGTGCTGTGCTAAAAGGCCTGGCAGCTCCTGGGAGATCTTCACCAAAGCTGGCTCCTGCAGAAACAAATTAAATAGAACCACAAGCAATTTTACTACAGAAATGAAAACTGCTTGTGGGGTGATTAAAAACCAGGCCTCCAACAGGCAAAAAAAAAAATAAAAAAAAATGTGGTTACTGTTTACCCACAGTCAGGAAGCCTTTTTTAATTTTTCTACTTACTACTCTTCCCTCCCATTGAAAACTGTTCTTCTCTGAAAGACAACTCCCCCTCTGTACAGCATCTATTTCGTTATAATTTATATCAATAATCTGATCTGGCAACTGAAAATGCTGAGCACTTGGTAACTGCTCCGGGATCAATATCAGGAGTCAATAATTCTACAGTGTTTATATTTTGAAGCTGAGCATACTGAAATAGTCACATATGCCAGAAACAGTTTTACTGATTCTGTGTTTAGGCTGTTATATCAAGACAAACACCCTTTAGTTATAACAAAAATAAAAGAGGAATAATAAACCAAAGCAGAAGAGATCCTTGTACACCCTGTAACAGATTCACAAGTGTTTGTGCCTCTATCTCAGGCTGAATTTGATGAGTCATAGGAGATAAACCAGCTTTTTCCTAGTTTCAAATTCTTTACTATATTATCACACACACAAACCAACCCCATTAAATACAGAAACCAACTGTGTTGCTTTTACTGTGCAAGAATGTCCCAGAAGTACATGAGCATATAAAGTGCAAGGACCCTGACTCTATTGCTTCAGGCTTCTTTTCTTGCTGCTTCATAAGCACCCGCCTGCTTCCCCTGGGTCTCTTTGCTTCTGTTTTACATCCTCTCTCTTCAGCATCTCGTGCTTCAGAAGATGACCAACCTTCCTCTGATCTTGGCAATGTCCTAAGCCACAATCATATTATCTGGAGGAACATGATAAAACCTTATGGCTAACATCTAAGAATAGGGGAAAAAAAATAAATCTTTTTTTCCAGACCAATGAGTGTGAAGAGATGGGCTTTGTCATGAAGCACATGATGTGACATAACCAAAAATACAAATTCAAAATCAGCTTACTGTGATTTACCTATCAGAATGAGGAGAAAGAGGATGGGCCAATGAATAGGGCATCGATTTTGCATATAGGAGACCTAGAGAGATCGTGTTCCTGAACAAACTCAAGCTGAGACCTTCAGAAAAGGGACTTTGTACCTCAGCTGTCCAGTCATGAAAGGGGGACAATTGCTGCCCCTATGTCACATGGAATTGAGAAAAAAAGGCCTTAAAAATATTCAGGTGCTTGGATAGTGACACTAATCTGGGCTATGAGGGCTCCTGTCATAAACCAAAGGAAAAAAGTATGTTGCTGACTTTAAACATCTCAGAAAAAATTCTAAAAGATGCTTTTAATCAGTGTTACCAACATACTAAGCAGCACAACCTTAATTTCATGGCAAAGCAGAGGAACAGACAAAATGTGAGATGCAAGTTCAGAATTTACCCAGACTCAGGTCTTACACTGTTTCCCTAAAATCTGGAAGGAGAAATTTAACTTTTGGCTATCTCAGCTCACTGCAACAACAAAGCAGTGAGCAGCTATCAGCTGTGGCCTTGTCTTGATTTGTATTTTCACTGAAATATTGCTCAGCCAAGGACTCACAAGATGGGATGGGTCTTTGCACAGTGAAAATAAACCCAGCTTTGGAAAGAGGAAGCCACGATGAACAGCATGGAGCTACTCACCTACAAAGCACCCTGTGCCCATCGGTGTGTTCAGTGCTACCTCTGTCACACTGAGTCTCACCCCCAAGATCTAATCATTTTGGATATTATGCAATGTAAACAGAAACATAAAACCAACCAAACAAAAGAAGAGGTAGGCAGTGACTGCCTGAATGCTTGTGATAAATTACTGGAGAAGAAAACCAACATTAATCCCTGCTGGAAGTGTAGAAGCATTTGAGAGTGCTCTGACCAAGCTTGTGTAAGTAAAAATTAAACTATGAGCATGTGAACTGGGACATGATTTTTCCATTGCAACTATACCAAGGGACAGGAAGGCAGCCTTGCCAGCTCCTGCTGAGCATAGAGAATCTCCTTTTAGATAGAGGTGTTTTCAAGGCTCACACATGGCTGTGAAAGAAAGGTCCCCCAAGTGGGACCACATCTTTAAGTGTGGAAACGGACACAACTGACCCCGCTCACAAATGGATGCGTCTGGTAAGACACTGTCCATTCACCTCATCTATACACACAGCACCTACTCTCTGTCCATACAGTGGACATTAGACAGGCAAGACTGTTGTACTTCCTCAACAGACCCAGTGCTGCCTGCTGAAATGAGGTCAAACAGCATTTGAAGGGGACTTGAGCACAGGATGGACTCAACAGGCAACGTGGATGCACATGTGGATGCTCCTGGCTCAGGAGCATCTCAAAGGTCAAAGCACCCTAAAGACTCACTGGTGGTGAAGGACACATGCATCAAAATCAGTCACCTTATAGGGAGATGACAGAGGCTTTTAAAGAAATAACTAATTCATTCAAGAAAATCTGAAGAATATTCTCAAAATCAAACCCAATGTAGCAGAGCTTTTAACAAGTAGTGCCTAGATAATCAAGGTGTTCACAGAGGGAGTCGGGCAACCACTTTTTAAGGATCAGCACCTGGAATTCTAGTCGAAGGGTTTTTTGCAACTGTAAGCTCTAAAAAAGGCAATAATCCTGATTATAGGGAGTTTTAGTAGGCAAATTCAAGCCTGGATCCAACATTCACTCGGGAAGTCGAACCTTTTAAAAGGATCAGTGCTCGGCAGGCTAATTTCATTTAAATTGGACGGCAGCTCCAGCAGGGCTTACCAATGTTTTATCTCTTGATGTGGCCCAAAACAATTCAGAATCATAGGCTCGATGGAAACAGGGAGCATTGATTCAAATCTTTCACCTGGTGTTTCCTAGCACCAGTAAAAAAGGAGCAGCCCAAGTACTGTTTACATTGTGTAGAAACCTTTAAATCTATCAAAACCTGGTTTGCACCTTATGAATAAGCATTAAAAAAACCAACAGAGCTTTCCCCCCCTAAATATAAAACAGTTTCTCACCCTTCTGCAAGCTGAACCTTGAAAGGCAACAAACAAACAGGACTAAATGCAGCATATGTAGAAGGCACTGGTAGGAAATCTACCCAAGAGAGACCAGTCAGCAAAGAAAAGCCTGTGGAGAAGATAAACAGAAAGAAGAAATCGACTTAAAAATAGGAAAAAAGACCCAGGGACAGAAAGAGGCTACAGAGCAGAATGCATGAGAAAGACCTAGGGCTTTTTTAGCTAAAAATCAGAGTGAAAGGAAATTATTTAGACCTTGCAAGCAAATAGAGTGAGGAAAGGAGCTTCAAATAAGTAAAGCTGAGTCGGCCAGAGAAGAATAAAATCAGCTGACAGATCCTCAGCCATACAAACTGCCACAGCTCTGCTGGAGTCAATGAAGCTATGGCAGTTTATGCCACTTCACTAGCACCATGACAATTCATACCCTTTAAACAGCATATCCTTTCCACTGCCATCAGTAGAGCAGTGATAACTTATTCCAGCTGTCTGGACAGGAATTGCTCCAGCCCAGCTCATCCTGGTGTTCTCAGCAGCACCAGTAAATATGGCAACATTGGAAGAGGCTAGTGACTGCTCTAACTGTCCAAATAACTTCCATTATTTCCTATTTTTCAAATTAAAGGGATTTGACTTTTTTTTTTTTTTTTTTTTTTAATTCACACATGCTGGCCAGAAGCATTAGGCAAAACAATCTAAGAGGTTCATAAAAATGGAAATGTTTTTGGAAGTGATACACTGAATACCCTTATCTGCTTAAAGTTCGCAACCTGATTTAAAGCCCAGGCTTTTAATTGTTAACTGCCAATTTTAATTTTAAAAAGTGACAGTTTTGCCCTCTGTGAGCTGGAGGAGTATGTTCTGAGAGAAGGTAACCTCATGTGAAACAGCCATCATTACCAAGTAACACAAATGTTTTTTGTATGTAAAATTGCTTTGTAAAATATTTGCTCCATCTGCTGAAAGTAGCAAAGACAATTTTCCCTGATAGCTAATGGCCCATTTCAGCTGGATGGCAAGTGATTCACCGGGGCTGCGACTTGCATTAAGTCGAATGGTGAAAACAGAGCACAGAATTCTCCACTTACGTGGTATTATCTCCTCACTGCTGCCTGAGAGCCCGGCCCTCATTATCACGGCCCTCGCTTTGGATCAGCACACAGGACCAGGGCTGCTTTGATTCGAGAGGCTTTTTGTCAAACTGAGGCACATATGCTATGCTTCAATACAAAAGCACAAAACAGCCACTTTCGTTGACTACAAGAACAAGGAGGTTAGTTCTCTTTCAACTTTCCAGCACTTAAACTGCTGTTCCTTTTTTCACACCACATGGGGCCATGGTTTTCTCTTCTGGCTCATGCTGTCGCTCTGCACGCTGAGGATTTCAATATATAAAAGATCAAGCCCTTCTTTTAATTCTAAATTCAACTACATACACACACAAGCAAAAAAAAACACACAACAAAAAAACCCAACAAAACAAACCCCTAGTCCAAAAAATCCCCTCCCAATTGCTTGGTTCATTGTGTACTTTTCTACTTACTACATCCCTATTGAAAAGCACATGTTTACTTTGTGCCCTGAACTACTTCAACATCTGCTAACAGACCAATAAAAAATAAATAAACCAGGATTGTTTAGAGAGATCCTTTCTCTTTCCTCTGAACACTTCTAGCTGGCAGCAAAAATATGCTGCCAGATCCCTTTTTGTCAACTCAGAACACAATAATATATGCAGGGAAATCAAATCTAAAATCACTATAACCTGTGCTACCAAAAAAACAGACAGAGAAATTCTCTGGAAAGCTCTATGAGCCTGGCAGATAATTCTGCACGTTTATGCACAGCATGTTAATTGGAGGTCAATGTCATTATTATTATTCCAAAAAAATACTCCTTGTGGATTGCTGTTTTATGCATACAAGCATGCCTTGTGGGAGGTTGCAGCCTTTG